CCTTTGTGGATACTTATCGCTATGCTCAGGAAGGCCACAATAACAGCCCCTGAGGATCATGTCCCACTACTGAATTGGTTCCAGGTGGTTATCAATGGAGAAGCCATTTCTTGTTAGAAATTTTCTGAAGACTTGGTTGACTATTAGGCACAGTTCACTGACAACTCTAGATTTAGTCCAAACTTTACCCTGGGTCAAAAGAAATTAGACCTAAAAAAACTATGCAAGGTCAGTCTGACCAGAACTTGGCAGTCAGTACACAATCTACAATATGTCCCTCCTTTCAGCAGAAATTTTTTTTGGCAATCCTATTTATTTATTTGTAAATAGTATTTTATTCTTTCCAATTACATCTAAAGATAGTTTTCAACATTCATTTTTTAAATAAGATTTTGAGTTCCAAAATTTTCTCCCTCCCTTCCTCCATCCTCCCTTCCCTCTCCCCAAGATATCAAGCAATCTGACATAGGTTATACCAGTGCAATCATGTCAGATATATTTCCACATTAATCATGTTGCAAAAGAGAAATCAGAACAAAAGGGAAAAACTGTGAGAAAGAAAAAAAAAAAGGAAATAGTACACCTCGATCTGCATTCAGACTATAGTTTTTTCTCTGGATGTGGTTAGCATTTTCCATCATGAGTCTTTTGGAATTATCTTAGATCACTGTATTACTGAGAAGAGCTAAGTCTATCAAAGTCAGTCATTGCACAATGTTCAGCAGAAAATGATTGGTCCTTGAAGAAGACATCTAAACAAACTATGGGAAAATCCACATGATGTGATGCAGAGTGAAGTGAGCGGAACCAGAATAATTTATTCAAAGACAATACTGTAAAGTCAAATGACTTTGGAAGACTTAGGATCTCTGATCATTAAAATCATCCATGACTGGAGATGACTCAAGATAAAATAGGCTGCCCACCTCTGGATAGAGAGATGATGGACTCAGAATAGAGACAGACATTTTTTGAGTATGATTAACACAGGAATTTGTTTTGACTACACGTTTCTTACAGGGATTTCATCTTGCTTTGTTCATGGCAGATGTGAGGGGGAGGTGGACCTTCAAAAAAAATATTAATTATGAAGACAAAAAAGATGTGACAGGAATATAATAATCTTTTGTACAGTTATTTAGCTTGTAATGGAGGAGTAACAAATGTTTGCAGGGACAGATTGAAATGGAGACCACAGAGAATGCTTCTATATTAATATCCCTACCACTGGAAAATGGTGGTACCCGGTCAGTCAATAAACATTTATTAAACACCAAGTGTTGCCAGGCACTGTCCTAAACACTGTGATGAATGAAAAGTCAGAGAGATATAATTTCTGGGTAATTAATAATCAATTGATTAATTATGATTAACAAATAATTAACAGAAAATCAGTGATTTCCTCTCGTAAATCAAAGACACCCCTGGGGGAGCCACTGAATGTTTAAATTCCTTGGAGAGTTAGTCTTCCTGATAGGCAGAAATCAACTCTGACTGGTTATTATGAGAGGGGGGCTTATTCTAATAAGGGGTTCACGTCACTCTTGGGACAGACTTCTCCACATACAGATCATTCTGCCTCTAGCAATCTATACAAAAGCATCTGTCCTCACTCAGACCATTGTAGTTAAACAATGGGCTCGAATTCACCTAGATAAGATGGTTTTTATCCTTTAATCAGAACTAAATTTTTCCAGTTGGGTGGGGTTCTGCCCAAGATTGAACCCAATCTCATCATCAGCCCTGTCCTTCTGCAGCTGCCTTGTCTTAGTAACTAAATGAGGAAATAGGGGGAAAAAAAACCTGGATTCCTTTCCCCTCCCCAATATTCACTGGTTATCAATAATCATTTCTCTCAGCACTAGGGATACAAAGAAAGGAAAAAAATAGTCCCTGGAAATAACCCACTTTAGAGTGAAGGGACTAGAAGAGTGTGTGTGTGTGTGAGGCAGACAAACCAGCAGCCTATGGCAATAGTTCAGGCCATGAGGGCCTGCACCAACGTGGAGGGAAGAAGGTACATTTGAGAGAGGTTATGAAGGTATAAATTGACATCCCTTGGCAACAGCTTGGATGTGTGTGGGGGTGAGGGTGAGGAATCCAGGATCACATCTAAATTGTGAGCCTGGAAGACTGGGAGGTTGGTGGTATGTAACCTGAAGTTTGGAAAAAACATATAATATAAAACTGAAACAGAAGAGAACTTAGATGGGCTATTTATGGTATTACTGTTAAGTAATATAATAAAGCAGACTTGTATGCTTTATTTTTTTTGTTGAGGCAACTGGGGTTAAGTGACTTGTTCAGGGTCACACAGCTAGTAAGTGTCAAGTGTCTGAGGCTGGATTTGAACTCACGTCCAGAGCTCTATCAACTGCACCACCTAGCTGCCCCTCAATAATTTTCTTTTTTCGGCTAGACAATGGGGTTAGGTGACTTGCCCAGCGTCACACAGCTAATGCCAAATTTGAACTCAGGTCCTCCTGAGTCCAGGACCAGTGCTCTATCCACTGTGCCACTTAGCTGCCCCCATGCATTTTTCTGCTTTGGAGAGCTCCATGTGCACTTGTGACCTTATTCTTTCTCAAGGCAGCTTTTTCTGTGTTCCTCACACAAACCACTCAATCTCCCATCTCCACACCTTTGCACTGATCATTCCCCATTCCTAGAATGCACTCCCTTGTCATCTCTAACTTGTAGAATCCCTCTCCTCTTTCATGGTATAGTTCTAGCATTTCTACTTAATGCTATCCTGATCCCCTGGAAGCTAGCACCCTCTATCCCTCAAATTTATTCTGTATATACTTATATATGGATGCTTTCTCCCCCAATAGAACATAAGCTCTGTAAGAAGAGGGATTGTTTCTGTGTTTGAATCTCCAGTGTCTAGCAATACCTCACATATACAAAGTACTTTTTGATTGCTTGATCTCTGAACTTGAGTTTGCCAGAGGACCTAAATACTTATAGCTCTCTGCCGAACCAGGAGATTCAACTCTAGCAAAACTGATTCAGCAGGACCTTGGGAAAGGTATTTTTTTATTACTGGTCCATCCTGTGTTTACCTTAGCCCTCTCATGAACCACAACCTTGTTAACTGACATCCTTAATGTATTTTATATGTGACTGTGGTGTGTATAAATAAAATGCATTTTAAAAAATGTTAACTGATCTTTTATTTTTATGCCAGAAGTTGTTAAAGCTAAGTTCTTAGTAGAAAATTAATGATTCAATTGAGCTAATTTTTATTTTCATGAATGATTTGCACATTTGCCTTTGTACTAAAACTCTTCCCATAGAACCAATATTTGTTTTGATTCGGTGTACTTGAAAAAACAAAAAGGCCAAATCAAGTTTGTGAGCCTTGAGAAACACGTATATAAGAAACAGTCATCGGGAACAGTTTTAATGGGTCTAGCGGAAAATGTCACCCCAAATTTTAAAAGAAGAGTCTTGCTAAGGACTTGAGAAGGCCCCGTTCCCACCAGTCCTAGGGTGGTCAGGCTAGGAACAGAAGCTCTCCGCCACTGATTTTGGGTGAGCACATCTCCAAGGTTTGTGTGTCGCCATGTTGGTGGTGGCTAGGCGGCCTGGACACCTTCAGTAGCTACAACCATGACTAGGTCCGTGCCGTAAGCTGTTGTTGGGACTTAGAAGTTAGGAACACCTGGGTTCAAAGGCCAATTGAGATACTCAATAGCTTCAAGGAACTGGACAAAACACAACCTCTCTGTGCCTCAGTTTCCTCACATGTAAAATGAGACAGTTGAAATTGATGGCCTCCAAGATCCCTTCCAGCTCTAAAGTGATGATACTATGTGTTTGTTGTTTATTTTGGGCAACATCTCTCACTTTTATTGGGGCAGGCTTAGGAACTAGCTTCATGGCTTGGCTATGTTGCTCCCCTGACCTCAGTCTATTTAAAAATTAAACTCATCATAGGATCACATAATTATAAAGGGACCTTAGAGATTATCTAGTCCAGCTCCACCATGACTTACCCAAGGTCAACAGCTAATACGTTGGTGGAGGTGGGATCTGAACCCAGGATCTCCAACTCCAAACCCAGTCTGCTTCATGGCATCACTTTTGTCTCTTCATTTGTAAAGGGATCAGGATTGGGCTAGATAATTTCTAAGGTCCTTTCTAAATTTAACACTCAAAGGGCAGTTAGGCGATGCCATAGTGCACAGTGCACAGGCCTGGAGTCAGGAAGACCAGAGATCACACACAGCTTCAGACACTTACTAGCTACGTGATGCTGGGCAAGCCACTTCTTTGCCTCAGTTTTCTTATCTGTAAAATGGAGATAGTAATAGCACCTACCTTCTGGGGTTGTTTTGAGGATTAAATGAGATAACATTTATAAAGTACCTGGCATATTGTAAGTGCTATATAAATGCTAATATTATTATTAACTAGTAGGAGAAACATTAATGGAGAGCTGATAGCAGGGAAAACTTTGTTTTAGTTCAGACCTATGACTTCAACAGTGTGGGGAACTCCCAGTATGCTGACACAGATCAGCAATGTCAGGCAGCTAGATTTAACAGTAGATGGACCCGGAGTCAGGAAGACCAGAGTTCCAATCCCGCCTTAGATACTTACTATCTGTATGATTCTGGGCAAGTCATTTAACCTCTGCCTATCTCAGTTTCCTAACCTCTCTCTCAGGATGACTGTGAGGATCAAATGAGATATTTGTAAAGTGCCCTATATACCTTATACTGCTACATCAATGGTAGTTATTGCCATCATCATTATTACTATCTGTAACTGGAGGCAATATTATCAACAGCAAAGCTTTCAACTTCCAAGGCTGGCCCTCCATCCACCAGGCCACAATGCCTCCTTTAGGCAAAATAGGAGAAGAAAAACAAAGCTTTTCCACAGCAGTGTAGAAATCCTTTGATCTCGAATCAACCTACGATTAGATCAAGAACAATCTCTGCAGAGATTAGAAAACAGATCTGTGACTCTACTGACATTCAACAGATAGATCAGGAATTATATAAAACTATTATTCACGAGGTAAGATAAACAGCAGAAGGAAGCCAGAAGTAGAAGGTCAATCTTAGGTTCATGTCTATTAGTACAGAGAGGCACAAGGAGCTGAGAGATGATGGTATTCAGCTCTCGGGATTTACATCTTCAACACACTTCGAATGCTAGAGAAAAGAAAGAACCCAGCATTACTGACCACAAATAAAAAATTTGCTTTCCCTTCTCCCAACACACACTAAGCTATTGAAACTGTGTTTAAAAGCCTTAGTATTATAGTTCATAAACTAATGACAATGAGAAAAGTTATCTCCACCCTCCCCCCCCCCCAAAAAAAAATTAAGGAAGAGAACAGCAGGGAATAGAAGGCATTTTTGTTGCAGGAAGATAAAAGATGTGGCTGACGTAGAACTTTGTCAGGTCAGCAACGTCTGCAGTCCAAAGCCCCATCAATTTGACCAACTGACGTCTGTGGGTGCTTGGTGGGGAGGGGGAGGAGAGGAGAGGGCAGACAGAAGGTGATAATATTTTTAAAGGAATAAGAGAGCAAAGCATTGTCCTTCGGGGTCACCCAGGGTGTGTATCCAAGTTTAGTTTATCTACTCCTGTTTTATGCCTTTTCCATGTGGAGAATAAAGCTGTGATTTTCTCAGCTTATAGAAATGCCAGTAGAATGTGACCCTCAAATTCTTGATCAATTACTCTCCTTTGTGACCCGGCCAAGGGGAAAGCTCACCTCTTTCCTGAGTGCATCAACTCCAGGGCTTCGTTAATTTGATCAAAAGGCAGGTTATGAGTCACAAACTCATCAACTTTGATCTTCTTTGCCATGTATTCAGACACCAGCTTTGGGACACTTTCTACACTCTTCCATCCTACAAGTAACCAAAAGAGAGGCGAAACAATTGAGTTCATGTGAGCATCTGGATAGGCGGAAGATGGGAAACAGACCAATTAGCTAGCAGAACATGGCTTTTCCTTTCATAGATCTCAAGATTTACCAAGAAGTCTTAATCGTAGAATCCTAGAACCTTTGGGTTAGAAGGGAAGGCATCTAGTCAAACCCACACCTGAACAGAAATCCCTTCTGCAACACAGTTTCCACTTTAAGACCCCTCCGGTTTTAAAATACTGTCTCCTGAGGCACAGCTCTAATTTTCTTAATGACCTGAAATGTGCCCCTCTGCAATGTGGCTTTCTTTCTACCTCCGGGATTAGCAAAATAAAGACAAATTCTGATTCCATGCTAAAACTCAAAACATTTGGATATAACCCCCAAACAACCTCCCTCTGCCCCAAGTTTTTTCTTATGCCTTGGGAAGAAGTGGGCTCCCTTTCATGAGGAGCCTTCAAGCAAAGACTGGGTGACCACTTCTAGGGAATGGTGTAGAGAGGATTCTTTTCCAGGGATGCGTTCAACTAGTTGATAGCTTTTCTTTTCTACTTAAGTCTTTTCTATTTTCTACTTAAGTCTTTCTACAAGTTTTTCTACTCTCTACTTAAGTCCTTCTACTTTCTACCTAAGTCTTCCTACTCAAGTCTTTTCTATTTTCTACTTAAATCTTTCTACTTTCTATCTTTCTACTTTCTACTTGTCTTTCTACCTAAGTCTTTCTACTCAAGTCTTTTCTATTTTCTACTTAAGTCTTTCTTTCTTTCTACCTAAGTCCTTCTACTCTCTACTTAAGTCTTTCTACTCTCTACCTAAGTTTTTCTACTTTCTACCTAAGTCTTTTTTACTTTCTATCTAAGTCTTTTCTACTTCTGAACTTTTGGGATTCTCTTCTAGGCTGAACACCATTAGTTCTTGCAACTCACCCTCTTATGGCAAATTTCCAAGTCCCTTCACCATTATTAGAGTGTCAACTCCTTGACGGTAGGGATTGGGTTTTTTTTTTTGTCTTTGTTATTTATCACCAGCTCCTAGAACAGTGCCTTGCAAATAAACAGAAGTTTAATAAAAGATGGCGGCGTTAACCAACTCTCTTCTGCTTGTGGTATCCAGACTTCAACACCATACTTTAGATGTCATCTGCCCAGAGCAGAATACAGCTGGGTTACTGCCTCAGTGCCATCTCCAGAAAACATTAGCACTGTTTACTGCCACAAATAAATGAAGTAGTTGAGGAGGAGGGGGATTGATCTGAGATTTTTTTTTTCAACTATTATCTGGGTGCCCTGAGAGGATGTTTAAAAAATCCATGGGGAAAACAACTGAAATAATAATATATTGGGGGCGACTGAAGAGGGCTTGGTTAGATTCAAGTTCTTATTATGACTTCCCTGACTTTAAGATCTGTATTTAAATAGATGAGAATCACTCAAAATATGAGAAGCAAAATATGAGGCAGAAAGGCAAAGGGGCCAGGCAGGCAGGTATGTAAAACTGGAGAAGGAAGGAGATCGTAGTATGTTAGTGTGAATTGCTCATCTTCCATTTCAGCATTCTGCTAAGAATGCCTTCTGGCCCTGCTGGCTCCAGAATGGATTCTAGAACAGTCACCTGGTTCATACCCTGTGTTAAGTGAATACTACCCAGGCAAAGAACTAGAACTGAGCGGGTGTCCATCAATTGGCACTGGATGAACAAATTATGGTATTATGAAGATAATATGATACTACTGTAGTGTAAGAAATGACAAAATAGATGGTTTTAGAGAAACCTGGGAAGACATAGAAACTGATACAGAGTGAATTTCTGGAATAGGGGAACAATTCATATAGTAACCACAACACTGTAAAAATGATTTTGAATAATTTAAAATATCTCAAATATAGCTTTGAAAGATTTAAGAACTCTGATCAACATGGTAATCTGCCATGATTCCAGATGACCAATCATGCCTGCCTCCTGATAGCAAGGTGATGGATTGTCAGTCATTCAGTCAGTTAGAATTTACTATGGGCCTACTACGTGTTAAACACGGTGCTTAGACCTGGGGATACAAAGAAAGACAAAAGACAATTCTTGCTCTCAAGGTGCTCACAGTCTAATGGATGAGACAACATGCAAGCAAATATGTCCAAACTAGATATATGAAGGATAAAGTGGAGCTAATCTCAGAGGGAAGGCTCTGGCATTAAAGGTGCCTGGGCAAGGCTTCTTGCAGAAGGTGGGACTTTGGCTGAGACTTGTGGAAAGCCAGGGAAGGTAGGAGATGGGGATGGGAGGGACAGCATTCCAGGCAGAGGGGATGTCCAGATGTCCAGAGCTAAGAGGTGGAGTGTTTAAAGAAGCCAGGAGGCCAGAATCACTGGAGCGAAGAGAACACAGTGAGGAGGAAGGTATAAAAAAACTGGAAACGTAGGAGGGGCTTTAAAAGCAAAGCAGAGGATATTATATTTGATCCTGGAGCTTTCAGGGATCCAATGGAGTTTATAGAGTTTGCTGCCGGGGCAATATCATACTGAATTGTGACACCTAGAACCTATTTTAGGAAGGTCAGCGACAAGTTAGAACACATTCGAAAGGTGACAATCGGCATAGTGAAGAGGACTTGAAACCCCTACCTTGGGAAGGTCCATGGAAGGAAGTGAGGCTATTCAGAGGAGACAGTGTGGTACAGTGGAAGGAAGCATTCTGAGTCACAGGACCAGGGTTCAAATCATACCCCTGATGCTTATTAGTTGTGTGACCTTGGGCAAGTCAGAAGCTCCCTGAGTGAGGGAATTGGGTCAGGTGGTTTCTGAGGTTATTTGAAGATTTGAAATCCATGATCTTATGAAGCAACAGATGAGTCTGGAGAAGTGGGAATGGTGGACAGGGAATGGTGTCGGTAAGTCTGAAGCGTTGGTATAAGAGAGATATTTGACTTTACTTGCATGGAAATGGTGTGTAAATCTAATTAGTGTGTAAGAGAGGTAGGTAGTCTCATTTTGCAAGGGAAGAAACTGTCCTTATAGAAATAACTGGACCAAGTTCACACAGTTAGTAAGTGTCAGAATTAAAAATGGCAACTCGACAGAAGAAACATCTTGGAACAAAACTTTTCATAACGATGCCAAGGCATTTTAATTTCAAATATGGTAAATATCAGTAGATATAACCAACACAAAAGGAGGGTCCTAAATAACGAAAAGTATAAAGAGGTCCTGAAATCAAAAAGTGGAGAACCAATAATCTAGACAACGACCTAAGATCTTAAGTTGTAGAGAAGGTACCAACCTGCCTTGGTATAGGGTTTCTTCAACTCACGAAATCAGAGCTCTAGCCCCATGCCCTATTCTCCTAGTTTTTGAAATTATATATAATACTGTTATGAAAATCTCTGAACAGGCTCTTTTGATAACACTTTCAGAATCTACTCCCAAAATGAATTAGTGGTTCAAAGGGTATGATTATTTTTACTGCTACTGCCATATTATAGACAAATTTGCGATTCCACCAAAAAGAGGAGTAAATCTGTTTCTCCACAAGCCTCTTAGCACTTAGTTTCACTGGCTTTTAATTATTTTTCAATGGTACATCTCAGGTAATTTTAATTTGCAACTCTTGATTATTAGTGAGGTTGAGTATTTTTCAAGTGATTATTAACAATTTATTTCTTCTCTTTTGAAAACTGTTTATATCCTTTGACCAATTATTTACTAAAGCTTGAGAATTAGCATTGTGGCTTTTTAACAGTATTTAATATATTTACTACTTATTTTCCCTGTTATTTTCCATTATTTGTTTTTCTTCTGAAGTAGTGAAACATCTCTTGTCCTTAATAAGACTCCCTATTTTTTGAATCAAAAAAAGTTCCCCCATAATTGAGATACTGTAGCATTCTACTTCCTTCTACATTTTTAATAGTTTTTATTTAAATCTATTATCTAGTTGGTATTCACTAAGGTAACTGGGTTTAATGCCTATTCTCAACAATCCTTTCTCCAAGTTTTATTTTCTAAAGGGCTTTCTATCTGGCACTAACTATGCATGATACACATTTGTTTGGATGCCAGCTTTATCTTTTCTGATCAGTCAATTTTTTGGCTCATCACCAGATAAGTTTTGAGGATTATCATTCTATAATATGCTTTAAGATCGGGAGATTCAAGACCACTTTATATCAGTTTTTTCCTGTAATATGTTTCTTTTTTTTTTTCATAAGTATATTTTTAAAAATTTTATTTTTAAAAAGTTATTGAATAAAATAAGCATTTCCATAACATAGTATCATGAAAAAGATGACTGCACATGAAACTGCAAATCTATTACATACAACTTGCTATTCCTTTTAAATATACAATAAAGTTTTCATGTAAATTTCTTTTTTTTTTCTTCTCTCCCTCCTCCCCCTGCCCTACAGATGGTTACCATTAGACTCAAACAGGAAATACATGTATATATGTGTGTGTGTAAAGTTATTCTATACATGTTTCTATTTATCAGTTCTTTCTCTGGATGCAAATAGTACTTTTCTTCATATGTCCTCTATATCTAATTTGGTTATTAATAATAGTCAAAATGATTTATTCACTCAAAGTAATTCTTTTTTTTTCTTCCCTCTGCTTTTTGGTGAGGCAATCGGGGTTAAGTGACTTGCTCAGGGTAACACAGCTAGTTAAGTGTTAAGTGTGTGAGGCTGGATTTGAACTCAAGTCCTCCTGACTCCAAGGCCAGAGCTCTATTCACTGCACCACCTAGCTACCCCTTAAAAGTAATTCTTAAAACAATATTTTTGCTTGATTTTCTATATAAATTTCACTACGCGTTAGTGTAGTTCTACAAAGAGGACCCTTAGTATTTTCACTGATACTGCATTAAATTTGTTAAATTTGCACATGCCAACTAAAGCATGACTATTGATGGATATAAACCACTCTGGGATTAAATTTTGCCATGCAAAGCACACAAAATGAAGTCATAGAAGTGAATTACCTCCAAAGGCTGTCCCTTTCCACGTACGGCCAGTTACCAGCTGAAATGGACGAGTGGAAATTTCCTGACCTGAAGCAGCTACTCCAACAATGACACTGACTCCCCATCCTTTGTGGCAGGCTTCCAGGGCTGCTCGCTGGAGACCCAGAGGAGAGCAGGAAATGAGGAAATAGACACAGTGAGGGATTTCAGATACTGGCAGGAGGTGTATGCTATGGGTGGGGTGAGGGGGACCTCTATACAAGCAGGTATTTTAAAAATAAAAAACCCAAACCCCAAACCTACTTAAAAAACAAATAAACCTTCCCCTACCAAACCCATTAGCTGTTCATGACTTTAAAATATAATTTCTCAACTCGAATGAAATAGTCTAGAAGTGGTTCACAATCCGTAACACTGAACTCTCACTGCAAATGGTATAAATGATTTCAAAAGACCAAAATTACAACAACAAAAAACCCTGAAAAACTCAACCTGCTTCTCTTCTACCTTTCTCATTTTAAAAATTTTACCTTGAATCTCTAAAAGCTCATCACTTATTTAACAAATATGTTGGAGACATCGAGATTAGCAAGAGTTTGCTGACTGCTCATAGGTTATCAGTTTGTTCCTAGAATTTTCAATCTTGGCCTATCATATATATGTACATATTTATACATGTATACACACATATGCACATATTTATCCAGGGCTGGGGAACTTCTGGCCTCGAGGCCACATGTGGCCCTCTAGATCCTCAAGTGAGGCCCTTTGACTGAATCCAAACTTCATTTGAAGTCAGTCAAACGGCCTCACTTGAGGACCTAGAAGGCACAGGTTCCCCACCCCTGATACATATACTATATACATACACTGCTTAGGGGTCTCACATCTTAACAAATATTTATATATTATATAATATTATATATTATTATTTTAATAAAGTTGCTGTTTGAGTCATTTTAGGTACAAGGAAATGTTTTCTTTTACTATCCTTTCCTATTCCTTTATCATTTAGCTACCGTGGCACAAGTAATTAAAGTCTATTTAATTGTAATAAGGGATTATCTTCTTATGAATCAAGGAATTTTTTTTTTAATTTTTGTTGAATCAAGGAATTTTAACCTAAGCTATTATTAATATATCAATTTCTAAACATATCAATATATTGCATCAATGTAATCTAGGACTTAGCAGAGTACCTGGCACACAGTAGTGCTTAATGTTTATTACTAATAATAGATTAATAATAACAACTGTCATTTAAATGGCACCTTAAAGTAGGCAAAATGCTTTATAAACATTGTCTCCTTTGAGCCCAGGTACCCTGGGTATGATTAGCCCCACTTTATCAATAAAGGCCAGAAGATGAGTGACTTGCCTAGGATTTCACAGAAAATGTTGGAGGTGGGATCTAGCTCACTTGAAGTCTGACGCTCTACTACCCTGCTGTCTGTATTATTAATTAAGGAAGAAACCTAAAAACAAACAAAAACCTCCCTACCACGTAAGACTGAATAAAGCTAAGCACACTTACCATGACGCCAACATTACCAATACACTCAAAAGAAAAGTCCACTCCACCGTCGGTCATTTCCACTAGCACTTCCTGGATTGGCTTCTTGAAATCTTGAGGGTTAATGCATTCGCTCGCTCCAAACTCCTTGGCTTTTGCAAATTTGTCTTTGTTGATGTCCACCCCAATGATGCGGGACGCCCCCGCCACCCTGCAGCCCATGATCACAGCCAAGCCAACACCGCCCAGGCCAAAGACGGCACAGGTAGAGCCAGGCTCCACCTGGAAAGACAAGAGATTCTGTGAGGGCCCAATTCCCTGGGCAAATACACTTAAATCACCAGCTTTCAAAACAAGCCAACTTCATCTTTATAGATAAGCACAGTGAACCGCCCCAAGAGGATATATTTCCTTTAAAATGCTAGGCACGGCACAAAATTGACCAGGCTAAAACCATTTTTTGGTGAGAAATTAAGAAGGACCATCCTCTTACCTTGGCAGTATTGATAGCGGCACCATAACCAGTTGAAATGCCACAACCCAGAAGGCAGACTTTATCTAGGGGTGCTAGAGGATCAATTTTAGCCAAAGAAATATCAGCCACAACTGTGTATTCAGAAAATGTGCTGGTCCCCATGAAATGAAAAATTTGCTTCCCTTTGCAGGTAAACCGGCTTGTATTATCAGGCATCACTCCTCTCCCTTGGGTAACTCTAAAGAAAAGAAAAAGGGAAAATAAAGGATAAAACAGGGTTTCATAAAATCCATGGAGGGAAGGGAAAAACATTAAAGAAAGATTTGTAAACCATGGCATCTTCAGATCTAGAAGGAAACTTATCATCTGGTCCACTACCCTCATTTTATAGAGAAAAAATCTGAGGCCAAAAAAGATAAGTGACAGTAGGATCTCATAGCTATTGAGTAACTGAGATGGGACTAGAATCCAAGTCTCTGACTTGTCAATGGTCTCCTTCACTCCAAGAACAGCATAACTGAAGTCAATTTTCCGAAGTATTAACTAATCTCAGGTCACAATACAGAAAATCATAAATATGCAATGTACCGTGCTCTAAAGGAAACCTAGAAAAAATAGAGAATTCTACAATTCAAAAAGTATTGGACTACAATATAATTTACTGAGTATCTACGATGTATTGGGCATTATCCTAGGTGCTGAGCATATAAAAACAAAAAAGAGTAGTCCTCATTCTTTGCCCTCAAGGTGAGAGATGAAATATTATGTATGAGGAATAGCAAAGTTGTCCAGTTTGGTTGGAATGCAGAGTATGAGGCAATAACGTGAAGTTAATCTGTAAAGACAGACTGGAGAAAGTGATGGATTTTATTTATTTTTTAATCATAGTTTTTTCTCAATTATATGTAAAGACAATTTTAAACATCCATTTTTACAAAATTTTGAGCTCCAAATTTTTCTCCTTCCCTCCCTAACCTCTTCCTAAAATGTGAAGCAATTTGATATAGGTTATATATATATATATACACACATATATATGTGTGTGTGTGTGTGTGTGTGTGTGTGTATATGTATGTATGTATGTATACAATCATGTAAGACGTATTTCCATGTTAGTCATAGTTGTGAAAGAAGGAAGAGAAGAAAAGAAAAAATGAAAAATAGCATGCCTCGATATGCATTTAGAGTATCAGTTCTTTCTCTAGATGTGGATAACATTTTCCATCATGAGTCTTTTGTAATTGTTTTGGATCACTGCATTGCTGAGAAGAGCTAAGTCATTTATAATGGATCATCACACAGCGTTTCTGTTACCGTGTACAATGTTCTCCTGGTTTTGCTCATCTTACATTGCATCAGTTCATATAAGTCTTTCCAGGTTTTTCTGAAATCCACCTGCTTGTTTGATGGGTTTTAAATAACAGGCAGGGGAGTTTCCAGTTGATTCCAGTAGAGCAGGATGCCACTGAGATTTCTTATATCTTTAAGTGACAGGTTCAGACTTGTACTTCAGAAACGGCAATCTGGTAGATGTGTCAAAGACAGACTGGACAAGAGAAATTGGACGCATACAGATGAATTAGAAGGTTACTGAAATAATGCAGGTGAGAGATGAGGGCTTGGACTAAGATGGTAGACATGTGAGTGGAAAGAAGGAGAGATGAGAGATGTTGAGGAAACATCGGTAAGACTGATTGGCTGAGGGGGTTGAAGAGGGAGAAATACTGTATCCAGGATGACTCTAAAGTTACTAATCTGAGTGACTGGAAAAATAATAGTAAGCATTGTGGAAAAAAGGAAGTTTGAAGAAGTGTTAGTTTTGGGGGCCAAGACAAGAGTTCTGTTTTAGATATGCTGAATGTGAGATGCCTATGGAACATCCAGGTGGAGATATCTAGTCTAGTAGGTAGGTGGTAGGATGGGACTGGCGAGCAGGAAAGATGAGGGCTATATATGAAGATATAAGAATCACCTGAATAAAGATGGTAATTGGTCCAAAGGGAAATGATGAGTTCACCAAAAAAGAACAGAAGATAGCACAACTTGGACCCACATGCTCTTAAGCCTTCCATATCTTCTTGTTACTAGTATGAAGGAGCTGTGATTTCCTCAGCCTGGGGGAGCTCAGGGCATGTGACCTTCTTTCACCATCATAGCTGAGAACCCATCTATGATGTGGTAAAAGGAATAGCATTCTAGGCTTGGAGTTTGGAAGACACACAGGAGCTGTGTGCTCTAAGGAAAGTCATTCAATCGTTCTAAGCTCAGTTTTTTTCTCTGTAAAACAGGAATAATACTAAACACAGTAACTACCTCATGGGGCAGCTGTGGGGCTCCAATGATATGTCAAATGTCAAATGGTTCAACATCAGAAATGGATATTTTAGGTGCTATTCAATGGATTTTAAGGTGCTGCTGTACCCTAAAAACCAGGGGCTTTTTCCATTAGAAACTCCCCTGCCTGTCATTTAAAACCCATCACACAGGCAGGTGGATTTCAGAAAAACCTGGAAAGACTTATATGAACTGATGTAATGTGAGATGAGCAGAACCAGGAGAACACTGTACACAGCTGAAACCTCTTCAATGTGTGGTCTTCTCCACCAGAATGGGAGCTCCTGGGCAGCAGACCTTCCCTTCTTTTCTAACTGTGTCTCTAGTGCTTAGGACAGTGCTTTCCACAGTATTTAATAAATTCTTTCCATTCATTCATTCATTCATTCATTCAATCAGCCATGCTGCTTTGAACAACAATACAAACTTATTTATAAGATGGAAATGTTTGCCAAATTCCAACTTAGAATAGAAGGATGAGGTTATGAAAGCATAAAATTGGGAGTTTTTTCAATCAAATGTTTTTCTCACTACTGTTTTTGTCTTTCTTTGTATCCCCAGAACTTAGTATCTGATTGCAGAAAGCAATTAATAAATGCTTGTTGGTTGACTGACCCTCATTTGCTCAAAATATCAAATAACAACAAAGTAAAATAAATAAACAGCAGTTGATAAGTTTCCTCTTGAATAAGAAATTGAAATAAGATTAGGAATAAAAGACCTAATGGGGAAGCCATGTGGCAGTTCCCTTGCTGTAAGCTGCTTAAGGGCAGAGACGGATTTTGCCAAAGGCCTGGCACACAGACCTTTACTTGTCAATTGACTGAATGACTCATGGTTATGAATCATGTAAGTTATAACATCTAAGCCCTAATTTCCTCATCTGTAACACAAATATAATTACTCTTATCTCAGATGATTCTTTTTTTTTTTTTTTGGCTAGGCAATGGGGATAAGTGACTTGCCCAGGGTCACATAGCTGGTAAGTGTTATTCTTATCTCAGATAAGATCCTTAAACAGAAGGCCAGAGAGAATATACAAAAGATAAAATTATAAAATAAATGAAATAATATCAAAGACACGAAATAAGACAATAAGACAGATGTAATTATTCTCGTCCCAGATAAGATCCTTAAATAAAAGGACACAGAGAATATACTTTATAATTATTTACTTTTATACTCATATTCAAATATACTTTATATTTAATTTATATCCTGTCCTTTTATTTAAAAATCTTATCTGAGACAAGACTAATTACATCTGCTTTATTGTATTATTTTATAGTTGTTTTATGTTACTTATGTAAGATTTTAATATAATTTATATAAGATGCATTATATTTTATATTTATAATTATATAATCATATCATTACATATTATGTAGTATAGTTTATTTTTAATAAGATTTTATTTATATATAATTTATATTATTTATATAAGATTCTGACCAGACTTTCTTCTTCTTAAACAGCTCCAGAAAATCAAGATAATTAATAGAAGAACATAAGCTCAGGTAGGCTACGGCTGAATAAATGGAAATGGAACATTAATATTGTAGCTTGTGATCCCTAGCAGCTAAAATGGGGTAGGTATGGTAAAAATTCTATAGGCTAATGACATTTTTGCAGGAGAAGTCTAGAAATTATCTGTTAAAATAATAAAGATATTCTTTTCTTTTGCTCTGTGGTTTGTGAGAAGGGAAATTATTTTGCCCGTTATAAAATAAAAGAGATAAAGTGTTGTAGAGTTGTCTAAAAGCCAGCTTTCAGTCAAGAAGACGAGAGTTCAGGTGCCCCTCTGTCATATACAGGCTGTGTGAAGCCACTTAATCTATTTCTCAGGCAACTCTCTAGAACTAAGGCAGCTAGGGGGCGGCACAGCACAGGCACAGTGCTGGGCCTGAAATCAGAACACTTGAGTTCAAATCTGGCAGCACTCACTAGCTGTGCGACCTTGGGCAAAGTCACTTAACCTCTGTTTGCCTCAGTTTCCTCATCTGTAAAATGGGGACTACCTCCCAGGAATGTCGAAATGATCTAATGAGAGAAAAACTGTAAGGCACTTAGCACAATGTCTGATACATAGTAAGTGATATATAAATGTTAACTACTATTATTATTAGACAAGGGTCTTTAACCAAGGGTATAGAGCCCCAAGGAATCTATGGATAGATTTCAGAGAGTCAATGAACTTGGATGAGGAAAAAAAATTCTATCTTTATTTCAATATAATTGATCTGCTTTTGTGATCTTAATGTATCTTTTTTTGTGGGGCAGGGGGAGGTTAAGTGACTTGCCCAGGGTCACACAGCTAGTAAGTGTCTGAGGCTGGACTTTAACTCAGGTTCTCCTGACTCCAGGGCTGGTGCTCTATCCACAGTGCCACCTAGCAGCCCCTTTATGTACCTTATTTTATATATACACACACATATATAAACATTGCTCAGAGAAGGGGTCCATAAGGCTCCCTGGAGTGCCAAGAGTTTCATGACACACAAAAGGTTAAAAACCCTTTCATTATAATTACAAGAAGCTCAGAGCAGGTGCTGATCCACATTGGTAGAAGTTTTCTTACAAGGTAGTCTCTCTCTATCTCCCCCATGCTGATAAAATGGTAGGCCTTGATCATAAAAAGTAATAAATAAAACCAATCTAGCTAAATTTCTAAAATTTGTCAATGGACAAAAAATATAGTAAGAAACAAACTGCAGTTCAGATAAATCTCAGAACACAATTATCACAGTTCACTAAATAGTCACAATTGCTGAACAGGAAATTAATTTTATTATTATTTTAAAAAATCAAATGGGTCCTTGTTAGGTGACTTTTGTGCATTCATTAAAAAATATACATCAACTGCAGTGATACCAATCTTATCTTCTTCTACTTAATAGTATTTTATTTTTTCTATTACATGTAAAGATAGTTTGCAACACTTACTTTTATGAGATTTTGAGCTCCACATTTTTTTTCTCCCTTGTACCCTTCCCTCCCCAAGATGAAAAGCAATCTGATACACCAACCTGATTTTCTGGCAAAGGTTTGTTTTAGGATTCCTGCAAAATTTGCATTCTCCACACTGTGGGACGTAAAGCGGGATGACGGTGTCACCTGGGAAACACATGGAAATAGTAAGCACTTTTAGCAGAGAGATTCTATTTCCTAATAAAAAAATCTCACAACTATTACTAAAAGTATAAAAAGCCTCCTTATCTCAATATCTCATTTGATTTTGGCTGGACTGAAAAACTGTTGAGAAATGGAGCCAAGACCCACCCTCTGACACTTACTAGCTATGTGACCCTGGGCAAAGTCACTTAATTTCAACTGCCTAGCAAAAAAAAAAAAAAGAAAAAAGAAAAAAAGAAAAGAAAAAAAGCAAGAAAATGAGTCAAGACCTACAATGTTAACTACTCCAAATGCAACATAGCCTTTCCTTTTCCTCCTCCTCCTCCCATGTACGAAATGTCCTGTTTTTTATCTCTGCGATAATCCCAGGACAAAGACTCTAGAACACCGAGGGCAAAACTTTAATTTTGGTAAAGTATTTTAAAAAAAAATCAGCTATTAATGAGTTCTTAAATGAGAACAGCTTGGAACTAAGCTGGCTTAGGGTCTTTGACGGTTTTCCAAGAAGCAGCGGCCTATTAAATCAGAGAACAAAAAGCCGTGTATTTGCCGAATGAGGAGCAAGATCGGTCTTGAAAAGTCACTGAGCAGGCAATTTCCTGCTCAATGAGTGGTGCGGGCAGCTGATCAGAAAAAGTGATTTTCTTATAGCAACAAGCCCAGGAACTCAAGTGTCTAATCATGAGCCTACCTGCTTGAAACTTGGTAACTCCTTCCCCAACGCTCTCCACAATGCCGGCTCCTTCGTGTCCCAGAATCACCGGAAAACACCCTTCCGGATCTGCCCCACTCAGAGTATAGGCATCAGTGTGGCAAACGGCTGTGGCAAGAATCTATCAGTATTCAGAGAAACAGAATGTGGATGAGTCTATGTAGATGCGTAGGCAACTCAGAACACCTATAAGGAAAGGTGTTGTTGCCTTTATTTTTGTTAGCATCTTTATTATAGTTAGGGCTAGAAAGGCCCTTAATGGCTACTAAATTCAACCCCTTCATTTTACAGATGGGGAAATGGAGGCTTGGAATGATCAGGGTCACAAAAGTAATAAGTAGCTGGTTTTTGAATGGAATTACGTTATCACGCTGCCTGTTTTCCCTTATTTCTATCAAGAAATCCCTCCCTTCAAGACAAGGACTATTTCATTTTTTCTTTGTATCTCCAGAGCTTTAATACAGTTCCTGGAACATAGCAGGCCTTTAATAAATGCTTATTTGATTTCAGTGACACATACACTATAACACTGAGAGAAGTGATTATTTTTCTGTTGTATTAATAATTGGTTATTAAGCAGAATTAATTATTAAATAGATTAATTATTAAATTAGAATTAAGGTTTTTCCTTATTCAAGGACCAGCCCTTTAGACCCCTTCAGACAGTGTCTGAAGGACAAAGCTGATAGATGAGATTGATCTGATCTTTGGGGTACATGCTCCATGATCTTGGGTGGACCCCAATCCAAGTAAGAGACCTTACTTTTGTTTACAGTGGAAACAGAATCCAACCTAGGTGCATTCCAGGCCTAAAGCACTGAGCCCATGGTCTTGTACCCCTCCGCTGCAGTCTAGGGGAACTCAGCTTATGAAAGAGAAAACCAACCCTGAGTGGCCTGCATAGAGATGGATTCCCTCTCCAGACTGCTGGAGGCAGCTGAGTCTCAGGATTAAGCCACGTTCTCTGCAGGAGGAGCTGAAGGCTTTCAGCCCACCCCCTGATTTGAAAGTTCACCCCCTCATTAATTATTCACCAATCAGGTTTGATTTTTACCTGTAAGGAGCACCCCCTTTTTTAAGGGTATTTAAGCATTCAGCGATCACTATGGTTTTGTCTTTGGTTACCGAAAGAGACTGATAACCATCATTTATTGATTACTAGATAGTCTAATTAGTAAGTTAATTATTAATTACCCAGAAACTCTGTCTCTCAGGCTTTTCATTTTCCTCAACATGTATGTTATCTGACATATTTTTATGGCAGAACATGCTGAGGACAGCAGATGGGGCCAATGACGGCACACATGATTTTCAGTACCATAAAGGCACTTGTGCTGTGGAGAAGGGCCAGTTTGCTTCCTCTTCCTTGGCTGTCTGTTCTGACTCCAGAGGGTGACATTTTTCTTACAACTACCATGAGAAATAAGTAAGCTGTAGGAAGCTGGTGTTCCACGTGGGCAGAGCCAACCAATCCAAGCCCAGAGGAGGCCTAAAAGACGCGGAGGCCAAGGCCTTACGGAAGAAAAAGGGGAAAAAACCAAGTGGCTTTGTTGATCCCCAAGATAAGTCACTTTCCTTGCTTAATCTCCATTTCCGTCCTATAGGAAGGGTTCTCTGAAGACCTCTCAACTCAAATCCCTTATCCAGAGAACCTGGACCCAAGATCAAACTTTGCCAGTGACTCAGATGTATGTTTACCTTAATTCGAACTTCATGAGCTTTTGGTGGTGCGACTTCAATTTCCTCTATAGAGAGAGGTTTGCCAGCCTCCCAGGCCACAGCAGCCTTGCACTTTATAACCTAGAGTGAGGAAGAGAGGACAAGTTTTTATTCTCTTGAGTAAACTGCTCTTGTGGCAAATAATCAATGGAGGTTCTGGAGAAGACATTAAAAACATTCCATCTGCTTTACAGGTAAGTGAGAGACTACTAGGACAGAACTGTTGTTTGTCCTTTGTTCTGGAAGAGGACCATGACATCAGGAAGGTGATGTCTTGACTTGCAAGAGAATTGCATTTAAGTGAAGTGGGCTGTACAAAGTCATCAACCTCACTCTATCCTCTGGAGCCATCTGGGTCCAGTGGGAAGACAAAGATTGGGACAACCGGAGATGGCTCCAGACACAGTGGGAGACCTTGGCCTTTTTAAGCTAAGGTCTTTCCCAGGTCTCAGTTTGTCTGAGGCAACACCCATTCGGTGATTAAGGCTACATAAGAAATGAGGCAAAGATGGCTTCTTTTACTGTATGTAGTATCAGACAAGGTTTACGTATTAATGTTTTCCTTTGTTACAGAGGATTCGATTACCTTTTTTTTTTTTTAAAGGCAATTGGTGTTAAGTGACCTGCCCAGGGTCACACAGCTAGTAAGTGTCAAGTGTTTGGTCTGAGGTCACATTTGAACTCAGGTCCTCCTGACTCTTTGTTACAAAGGAGAGTTCAATCTCGTATGAAATTATTTTGATGTAAAGACAAAAGGCCTCAATAAAATACATTTAAAAAATAGAACAAACCACTCTGATGAATTTGGAGATTACTGATAATTATCTCTGAATATTAATCCTCAGAAAATAAACCACATATTCACAAGGAACTTGGATATCACTGAATAAAGAAAAAATAAAGAATAAAAAATAGGGCATGAAGAAATAAAGTAAACAAAGAATAAAGAAAAAGTAAGCAAGCTCTGGTGGTCAGCTTATCAACAAACAAAAATCTTTGGATAAAGTTTTCACTAAAACAGAAATTTAAGTATTAAATCTGACAGTTTCGGCAAAGGATTTGGGTATTAATGTGAGGATTCTTTGTCATTTCAGAAGGATGTATGCCTCAAAGCAAAATCCCAGAGGAAGATTTCTGAACACCTGCCTATAAACAACTGTGTCTGGGGATAAGTGTAATGGCACACACAAATATGCTTCTGAAACATAACATGAATTGTTTACCACATATCCAAAGCAAAAACCACACCAAGCACCTGAAACCCACGGCTACTAAGTCTATGTAGTATCTAAGCTATACTTCCTCTCCAATCAAATTAACACTACCATTGCTTCCAAAGAGCCTGTCCACTGACTACCCTAAGGTTGCACTCACCATTCCAGTGACTTCCCAGATCCAAAGTCCTTTCTCTGGTCACCAGCTACCTGCTAAGTGTTGTCTCCCTCTATTTAATACAATGTAAGCTCCCAGGGGGCAGGGACTTTCACTTTTCAATGTGCATTCCTGGCACTTAACACAGTGCCTAGCATATAGTAAGTACTTACTGAATGCTTTTTCATTCATTCATTCAGTTCATTGATTTTGCATTCAACCTAGGTAGCTCTATATTATCACAATGGTTGTGTGTAATTACAAGGCTTCCCCTAGGCTAATAGGGTATCCTCTAACAATTAGCAGAAACCTAATCTTAGGAAAATGGTGAATTCTTCCTCCATTGTCCAGGAGTTTCTAAAACTTTAGACAGAGGTTCTCAAAATTATTTGGCCTACCTCCTCCTTTAAAAAAAAAAAATTTACTTAGCACTCCACTGGAAAATCTATTTTCTTTAACCCTTTAACTTTTTAAATCGGCACAATTTAAAAAATATAAATAAAAAAAGTTGCACCTTAAATTTAATAATTTATTGTAAATTTTTGTTTTTTTCCTGCATTGAAATTTTGATGACACAGTATTGCGTATAGCATCATACTGTAAACAAGTTATTACATGCACATATTCCTGCTGATGCATGCTGGACCTTCTGACAATGCACCACATGCCTGCCCGCCAACACTTGCTTGTTAAGACCTGTCGGCAGACTTGACCACTGATAGGTTATAACTTGCATTTTGTGTGTTTCTTTGGAAAACGATGTAATCACAACAACTTTAACTCTGTTACACAACAGATGAAAGATGTACAAATGGTTTTTCAAAATCTTCTCATCTTCTTTTCTTTCCTTATGTTTCCACCGCCCCTTATTTTAATTCAATGCTCCCAATTGCACTTGAGGATACTACCGAAGCCCCCTCCCCCGTTGTTCCAGCACCCCCTGGCTTTGGGAACCTATGCTTAGAAAAAGTGAGTTTCCAAGGTAGGTACTTGAAGGCAGTCATTAGCTAAATTAGGACTCATTAGGAATTCACTCACAGAAACTAAAAAGCGCAAAATCCAGATTTTACTTGTCATCTTTGCCCAGAATTTAAGTTTTCTATCTACCACTGCCTCTCAAAAGGGCTTCATTCCCCCGTCCCCCTTAATGATGATAGTTTCAGGAAAATAAATGTACTATCTTAAGTCTATAGGAATGTTCAGCACTTCCAACATTTGGGACACTGTGCCCAGCTACAAGACAGGTTAATACATCTTCCCTCCCCAGTCCTGACCCTAGAGTAGGCCAGTTCAATTATACACTGTCCTTTCCTATTAATTCACTTGCCCCTTTGTGTTATCCTGGCTCATGTTTGGTACATTTCAGCTTGAATTATCCCTATCATATACTTTCTTGGCATCTACTGCTGAATAATATTGGAGGTCACACGACCTGATTGTGGCCATTACGAATTTATCAGTAAGTACATTGGTAATGTACAGATATTTAGTACTTATTTATATACCCATTGTATATATTCCTCCAGTAGAATGTAAATTTGTCACTTAAGGACTATCTTTGTATCCCCATGCATGTGCCAGGCATGGGGATACAAAGATAGTCCTTAATTGACAAAATTAATTGACTTCATACATTTTTGCAGAATGAATCAAAAGAGGAATGAATGCCTTTATAAAAAATTATAAAATTTAAACAATAATTTTTAAGTGATTGTTTTCAAAACAGAACTCACCTATCTTTTCCTCCAAACCTATCCTTTTTCCAAACTTCCCCATTTCTTTTTTTTAGCCTCAATTCCTTTATTTTTTTTGTACATATTATTTTATTTTTTCGAATTACACGTAAAGATAGTTTTCAACATTTATTTTTCACAAGATCTTGTAAACTTCCCAATTTTTAAAGAAATCACTGCCAAATTCATGACCTTGCCACTTCACTGTCACTAACGTCATGTATCCAAGGGGTGGCCACATTTTGCTGTTTCTGATGCCTTTTCCCTATTCGCAGGACCTCATTCCCTAGACCACTGCAACAGCCAGTCCTAACTGCTCTGACAAAGTGATTTTTTTCTTAAGCACAGATGTGTCCATGTGTCCCTTTCTCAAAATCCAGTGATTATCAATAAACTAGGATAAAATATTAACTAACTCCTCTGGCTTTTAATACCTTTTAGAACCTGGATCCAAACTGCTTTGCAGTTTCATTATATAAACAGACTGGCCTCCTGGATCTGCCATTTTTCATTTCTCCGCGCCATTAAGCTAAATGTTCCAGTGCCTGGAATACAATCCCTCCTCTCACCTGCTTTAAAGAATCCCTCTCTTTCTTACAGATATGCTCATGCAGCACCTTTGAAATGAAGCCTTTCCTGATCCCAGCTGCTAGTGGCCTCCCTCCCAAACTTGCCTCTCTGTAAGGTTCTTACCAGTAACTAAGGGTTATGGCACTCTTTTTATCCAGTGCCTGGAAAACAGTAGGCCTCAATGAATTCTGGTTGATTGCTAACGAAATATTCTAGAAAATTAGTAACTTGAGAGATACAACACAGATTGTTAATATTTCAATTAACTTACTCTTATCTCTTTCTGCCTTATCATCATAATATATCTAGGTTTCTGGATACCCGGAAACCTCTTTGTTTCTAAAAGAGAACTAGCAATCATGGCAGGCTTGATTCAAAATTTAGCCGCTGGTACCATCGTTTGAAATGAATTCAACCTAGCACTTACAAGGTACTCTGTTAGGCACTGACTGGGCAGATAAACACAAAAAATTAAATTGGCCCTACCCTAAAGGAGCATCTGATGGAACGAACCCCAGATTCATGCATATATGCCAATCCTTCTAATTTTATGATTTAGAGTCACACAATGTCAGGCCCTGAAGGGCTCTTCAAGGGACTATGGGAACATAGTGAATATCCTTCATTTTATGGAAACTGAAGTCCTAAGACAGGCCAACCTGTCCAAAATCATACAACTGATTAATGACAGACTTGGACTAAAGCCCACTTCTACTTACTCCTGATCCAGATCTTGGGGTTTTAAGTCATATGAGATCACAATAGGGTCGAGGCAAAACCCCTTTCCCTAAGGATGCCTAGTCATCACTTAGATGCTGATGTCCCGGGTTCAAGTGCCCTGTGGTAAGCAAAATCACTTTGCCAGTTTCCTCCTTTGCTAAATGGTTCAAAGGCTCATCGATTCAGCACTGGAAGGGAACTCAGAGGCTGCTGAGTTCCAACTCCTCGTTTTACTGATAAGAAATTGGAGCCCAGAAGGTGCCAAAGGTTGCTCATAGGTGGGCTTTGGATACAGATACTTTGATGCCAAATTTGGTGATTTTTCTGCCATATCATTTACAGGACCATAACTTTGGAGCTGAAAGGCTGGAGTTTCTAATACCTTAGAGAAGAGTAAGATACACATTACTTGCCCCACAAGGGTCACTGTGTGAGGTCTTTAGAAATTTTAAGGCCCTGAAGAATCTCAGCTATTATTATTAGTGTCAAATTCTTACAAAGTCCTTTGGAATTTAAAGCCCTTCTCGATCTGGCTCCACATTTGGGAACACAGATTCTGAGCTGGGAAGGGCCCTTATACATCGGCTACTTCTAGGCCCCCATTTTACAGATGAGGAAACTGAGGCTCGGAGGAGAGGTTAAGTAATTTGCCCAAGGCACAGAGGCAAGTTTTGAACTTGGGGCCATGGATTCCAAAGTCTGGCCTATTTCTACTACACAGTGCAATTTATTACACACGATTCCCCTTCCAGCCAAACTGGCCCACTAGCTGTTCTTCATAAGCCTTATACCTACTTTCGAGCCTTTGTTACTGGTTATCCCCTCCCCCCCCAGCCTAGGATACACTCACATCTCTTCTTATATCTGCCTGTTGGACATTAGCCCTTTTCAGAGCCCCCAGAGACGGCTGCAGTCCCTTTGAACAGTTCCTATTTTCTTACATGCCTACTTGCTATTTTTACACCCCTGCATACACTCTTGGAAAACAAAGACTGCCTTTTATTTTTTTTTAAAGCACCAGCGTTTTAAAAATGCTTGTGGACTGCAACGCACTAGCGCTTAAGAAATGCTCAATCTCTGTAGCTATTGTTCCATCTAGTTTCTTGCAGAGGCAGACACTACGTAGCAAGTTCCTTCCGCACGGTTTGCGCGGATATCTTGCAAACCACCGCCGCCCCAGCAGCTCCTCCAGACCACCTCGAGCATCCCCGGTGCGCGTGGCTCCCTAGGTCCGGGGGCTGGAAGCAGCGCTCCCGCCCCGCGCCCGCAGCCGCTTTCCTTCGTCCCGCGGCCTCCTCCCCCGCGCACCGCGAGCCCCCAGGCCAAAGGCCGGCGGACGCCTGCAGCCGCTTCGCGCTCGCGCACGCGGCGGCCTCCCGGGAACATTCCACGGCCCTCGGCCTCCGCCGGAGCGCGCGCCCGTCGGACACGTTACCTGGCCGGCCATGTCCTCCCGCCGTTCGCGCTGCAGAGCAGAGACGCGTGCCCCAGGCTAGCGGCCCAACTCTGCTGGGCCCGCGCCTTGCGTGCCCCGCCGCAGCACCGCCCCCCGCGCAGCGTGGAGGCCGGTTCTCTCCTCCCCTTCCTCCGGCTCCTGGGGACGGGTGAGCCGGCTTAGGCGCTGATTGCCCTGCCTCATCTGGGAGGAGAAGGAGCATAAAATGCGATGTCTAGGGTTGGGGCACCCTGGGTTATTGGGTGCTTATTTTATGTCTGTGCAACGCGGACCGGGTGAAATGCACACAATTTCCCGCAGCTCTGGGGCGCGAGGGGTAGAGCACCGGACGAGTACCCCCGGTTCTGTTTGCAAAAGCCAAACCTGTTCCCGGGGGAGGGATTTATTTACTTACGGCTTGTAGGGACCTCTAAATAAAAGAGCGTCGGTTGGTGTCTGGGTAATTCAGCCCAACCTGAAAGGCGTTATCTTCTGTGTTCTAGACGAAAGGTGAATGTGATGCAACAGGCGCCCTGTGGGTAATTGTCCAACTTCAACCTACGGGCCAATATTAGGAGAAAGTTTATTGCAGGAGGAAGTTTCCATACTTTATGTAGTGAATCCCTACCAATCCTTAAGAAAAAGTCATCCTCCTTTTCCTAAAAGTTTCTGCAAATAATTTTATTTGTTCATATTTTATTCAAACAAAATGATGAGTTTATTATATTTTAGGATATAAAAGAATGGGGAGACACTGAACGTACTCACCCAGAGCTCCATCGCCCTTTCAGGGTTCTTATTCTGATGTGCGGCCTCCAGTAATTAGTACCCCAGTTCTATTTAACCAATTAACATCAATTAGCTTTTATAAAAGGATATTTACTGAGCAGATAGCACAAGAACAGAAGTGCAAATTAATAAAAATGACATCTGTCACAGGAGCAGAGATTTGTAGGTCCTCTAGTTTAACTCCTTAATTTTAAATTTGAAGAAACAGACCCAAAGAGGTGAAGGATCTTACTGAAAGCTTTTTTTTTTTTTTTTAAGGCAATTGGGATTGAGATGAAGAATCTTGCCCAAAGTCAGGCAAGTAACGAATGGCGGAGTCAAGATTAGATACCAGCCCTCCTGACTCCAAAGCCAGCACTGTCTATTTGTCTGCCTGCCAAAGGTTAAGAAGAATCAGTCAATCAACAATCATTATTCATTAGGAACCTAGTACCTAGTACCTAGCTAGTGCCTGCTTTTGTGCTAGGCACTGGACATAGAAACACAGAAACCAGTCTCCCTGAAGGAGTTTACGTTCTAGAGGGGAGGCCTGTGTTTGACCTTGTGAGAGATGATCTCTGAGAATCTCTCAGGAATGAAGCCTCCTCAGGGAGTTAATTGCTTCTTGTTCTGTTGAAACACTTGCAGCTGGTTGACCTTGTAAAGAAACATGCTTTTCAACTTTATCAGACCTCCTCCTTCCTCTCTAAAACTATTTACTCTAAAAAGAAAAAGAAAACCTCCTGTCTCCAGGCAAGTTGTAAAAAGTGTCCTTGTTCTTTGTTGCTGGGGTAGATTGCCGCGAATAGATTGTACCCTCAGAGCTTGCATTAATGAGCCCTGAGGAAGGGGGGGAAGGGGATTGCTCTAGGACCTATATAACCTGTTGATCTGAACACACCTCTGCTCTCTTTGGTTGGCGCCAATTTTTTGGTGTTCTGAGGGAGCCCTTTCTCGAGAAAGCTAATAAATGAATTTTTCTTTTTGCTAATATCTCTGAGTCTCTGATTCATTGATAAGGGTCTCTGTACCCTACCCAAGCTCATTTGTGATTGGCATTCAACAAATACATCTTTCTAATCCACGTGCATGGTATATGTTAAAACCAATCTTTTTTTTAAACTTTATTAATTTATTTTGATTTATCAACAATCACTTCCATAAGCTTTTGAGTTTTAAATTTTTCTCCCCCTCCCTCCTCACCTCCCTCCCCAACACAGCCCACAATCTGAAATAGGCTATACATATACATTCCTATTAAACATATTTTCACATTAGTGATGTTGTAAGGAAGAATTAGAACCAATAGGAGGAACTACCAGAAAGAGGAAACAAGACAAAACAGAAGAAAAAAAAATAGCAAATAGTATGCTTCCATCTGCATTCAAACTCCATAGTTCCTTCTGTGGATGTGGATAGCATTTTCCATCATGAGGCCTTTGGAGATGTCTTAGATCCTTGCATTGCTGAGAAGGACTAAGTCTGACAATATTAGTCATCAAACAACTTGACTGTTACATGTACAATGTTCTCCTGGTTCTGCTCACTTCATTCAGCATCAGACCATACAAGTCTTTCCAGGTTGTTCTGAAGTCAGCCTGTTCATCATTTCTTATAGCCCAACAGTATTCCATTACATTCATATACCACAACTTATTCAGTCATTCCCCAATTGATGGGCATCCCCTCAATTTCCAATTCTTTGCCACCACAAAAAGATCTGCCATAAATATTTTTGTACATGTGAGTTCTTTCCCCATTTGTATGACCTCTTTGGGATACAGCCCTAGAAGTGATATTGCTGGGTCAAAGGGTATGCACATTTTTATAGCCCTTTGGGCATAGTTCCCAACTCCTCCAACAATGCATTAGTGTTCCAATTTTCCCACATCTTCTCCAACATTTATCATTTTCCTGTTTTCTCATGTTGGCCAATCTGATAGGTGTGATGTGGTACCTCAGAGTTGTTTTGATTTGCATTTCTCTAATCAATAGTGATTTAGAGCATTTTTTCATGTGACTATAGATAGCTTTAATTTCTTCATCTGAGAACTGCCTGTTCCTATCCCTTGACCATTTATCAATTGGTGAATGACTTATATTCTTATAAATTTGACTCAGTTCTATTTTAGAAATGAGGCCCTTATCAGAGATGCTGGTAAAAATTCTTTCCCAATTTTCTGCTTTCCTTCTAATCTTGGTTGCATTGGCTTTGTTTTTGCAAAAACTTTTCAATAATGTAATCAAAGTTATCCATTTTGCATTTTGCAATGTTCTCTATTTCCTGTTTGGTCATGAATTCTTCTGTTCTCCATAAATCTGATAGGTAAACTATTCCTTGCTCTCCAGTTTGCTTACAGTATCAGCCTTTATATCTAAATCATGAACCCATTTTGACTTTATTTTGGTATATGGTGTGAGATTTTGGTCTATGCCTAGTTTCTGCCATACTTTTTTTCAGTTTTCCAAGCAGTTTTTGTCAAAGAGTGAGTTCTTATCCCAGAAGCCGGGGTCTTTGGGTTTATCAAATAATAGATTACTATAGTCATTGAGTACTATGTCTTGCATACTTAACCTATTCCACTGATCCACCACTCTATTTCTTAGCCGGTACCAAGTAGTTTTGATGATTGCTGCTTTATAATACAATTTAAGATCTGGAATGGCTAGGCCACCTTCCCCTGAATTTCTTTTCGTTAGTTCCCTTGATATTCTGGACCTTTTGTTACTCCTAATGAATCTTGTTACATTTTTTATAACTCTATAAAATAATTTTTGGCCGTTTGATTGTTATGGCACTGAATAAGTAAATTAATTTAGGTAGAATTGTCATTGTTATTATATTAGCTTGGCCTACCCATGCGCAACTGATGTTTTTCCAGTTATTTAGATCTGACTTTGTTTGTGGGAAAAGTGTTTTGTAATTGTGTTCCTTTAGTTCCTGGGTTTGTTTCAGTAGGTAGACTCCTAAATATTTTATAATGTCTACAGTAACTTTAAATGGAATTTCTCTGTCTATCTCTTGCTGTTGGGCTTTGTTGGTAATATATAGAAATGCCAATAATTTATGTGAGTTTATTTTACAGCCTGCAACTTTGCTAAAGTTGTTTATTATTTCAGTAGTTTTTTACTTGATTCTCTAGGATTCTCTAAATATATCATCATATCATCTGCAAAGAGTGATAGCTTTGTTTCTTCTTTGCCTGTTCTAATACCTTCAATTTCTTTTTCTTCTCTTATTGCTAATGGTAACGTTTCCAGTACGATATTGAACAACAATGGTGATAACGGGGATCCTTGTTTCACCCCCGATCTTATTGGAAATGCTTTTAGCTGGTCCCTGTTACATATGATGCTTGCTGAAGGTTTTAGGTAGATGCTGTTTGTTATTTTAAGGAAGACTTCATTTATTCCCATGCTCTCTAGTGTTTTCATAGGAACGGGGGCTGTATTTTGTCAAAAGCTTTTTCTCTATCTGTTGAGATGATCATGTGGTTTGTGTTCGTTTTGGTGTTGATATGATCAATCATGCTGATAGTTTTCCTAATATTGAACCAGCCCTGCACTCCTAGTATAAATCCTACCCAGTCATAGTGTATTATTCTTGTGATAAGTGACTGTAATCTATTTGCTTAAAACCAATCTTTTTCTCCCAGCTTTTGGTGACTCTGGTTAGTTGGTTGTTACCCTTTGTTCTCCAAGGGGACCAAAATGACGTCACTATGTTGGAGTCAAGGTACAGTGTGTCCAACTGTGCCTGATCAGGCCAGAGCGAGCTTAAAAGGCTCTACCACCGGTAGGGTACAAACAGTTCATATGAACATTTGGAGTGGCGATGTCTCTACATTTGCACATCTCGTGTTTCTTTTGAGCTACTGAAATTTTGCTTCACTCCGAGCGTCGTGTCTTCTTTGATACAGGCACATGCTGGTTGGTCCCGTGTCAGGGTCTCCCCTGTTACACAGTGGATTCCAAAGTTCTTCAGAGAAACCTCAAGAGTGTCCTTGTATCACTTCTTCCGGCCACCATGTGAGTTTTTGCCTTGTGTGAGGTTTCCATAAAATAGTATTTTAGACAAATGTAAGTTTGGCATTCGAATAATGTGGCCAGCCTGCATGAAAGACAGTATCGAAGACCTTGGTCAGATTGACGAATGTTGAGATAAGGTCAAGGAGGCGGAGCCAAGATGGCAGAGTAAAAGCAGTGCCTTTCTTGAGCTCTCCCCCAAACCCCTTCAAATACCTGTAAAAAAATGGCTCTAAACAAATTCTAAAGCAGCAGAACCCACAAAAAGACAGAGATTGACCAATGTTTGGTGA